ACAAACTACATGGTCATTAGTTACTGGTTGTTGCAGTAAAATTATCATTGATATTAAATCATCACATCAATGCTGCTCTACAATTGATCTATAAAACTAATATTTTTCAATTTATATTTTCATCTCAGTAATGAGAAAAATCCAAAACATTAATCACATTACTAAGAATTACGATGGAGAGCAATAAAATGTCCTGTCATGGACGCATAACTTCAAAGCCTCATGTGCCTAGAATATATTAACATATATAAAGTTATGAATGACTACAATATGGCATTGGCAATGTCTACAATGCAACATTTCCAAACATAATTTAAAGCCTAAATGAGACTAGGTACACATCACAAAAATCTTCTCTACAGAACTTGTGTATATAAACTCTTATATTATACAGCCACTCAAGGCAATAATTAACAGACTTACATGTTACACAGCACGCAAATAGTTTGTAGTCATTATGAGATTTATAGATTCATAATTGAATATCTGTGACTAGGAGCAGTATACACTTAAAATATTTCTGAAGACAGGATTGTTGGCTTACATAACATAGAGATACAAGATTAATGTGTGGTACAACACCAGAGACCAAAAAAAGTAGATAAAATACTCATGGGATTCAACTCTGGTTAATCACTGCAAATGAGGATCACTTCTTATCACAGGCATAATGCATCTCAGACTGTATATACCCTAAAGCAAATTAACGTCGGTAAAACATGTTAAAAACCGTACTTTTATAGCCTTCATGGCAAAGAATTTATACAGTACAGTACAGGTATTGAAATTTTAATAGCAAGAGATTTTTTATCTTGGGAGCTTCCTTACACTGTAGCAAGGCATCCCAAAAATCTAAATTCTTCAACCACTTGTGACAATGAAGACCTCACTCACAAGATGTCCCTCACCTTCCTTTGAACAAGTACATCTCATTAACTAAATATTAAATAAATTGAAAGCTTTGCCAATATTAAGTATAAAAATACTTGGATCTACTATACTCTTTAGTTAAGCAAAATTATATTTAATCCATCAAAAACTAAAAAAAACAAAAAACAAAAAGTTAAAATATAATTTAAATAAAACAAATAAACTAGAATTCAAATGTTAAACCAGTCCTTATGTGTTCAAGGGTTATAGATCATACATATATATGCTTTACACACTGTACATTAAACTTCAATAAAACCATAGCAGAAGTAATGTTCATTTATGTGGACACATGAGCTACCAAGTACAGTACAGGTATAATGCTGTATACACATATTTCCCTAGACATTCACTGAAAGCAAAAACAAAACAGGGCATATCCTACTTTGATGTTTTAAAATTCACTTAGACTGGAGAGCTGACGTTTGATGACAGAAAAAAACAAATAAAACTTTAATGTTGTTCCCTCCAAGAGCAAGTTAAATTCCTCTCTTTAAGTAAACATGAAGATTATCATACAGCTCATGTAATACTGTATGCAAAATAAAATCTAACAGAAATGAAGAATACTGAATTACTGAGCATTTTTTAATAAAGAGCCAATGCATCCACTTAATAACTACATTAAATTTCTCGTAACATTATATTTTTAATTCAATTTACTTAGTACCCCAAATTTTTATTTATATAAATTAAAACATACTTGAAAAATTTAATAAAATACTGTTAATAAATACTAATGGACTATGGGAGACAGGGAATTAGATTAATCTAATAAATTGCATACAAACCATTAGAAAAAGATGGCAATATGACACGACAATATAAGACTGGTTTGCAAACATTCTAACATCTGCAAATGCAAACTACCGATTTTCTAAAAACATTTCATGCGACTGTGATCTGACACATGGAACTCCAACACTCTCAGAATATTACCTGTTTATTAAGTCTTACCCTCAGCATAACATACGAAGGCTCATACCTCTTACCTCTCACATTCATTTGTGAAAAAAGTGACTAAATCTCCTAAAAGTATTTCACTGACTTGATTATATTCTAATACAGTAATAAATTGTGGAAGCATATTTACAGTGAAGTTAAAACTGTTTAGTGGGTCAAAAGTTGGAAAAATAAACATAATTTGACAAATCTGACTAGATCACATTCAAATGACACCACTAACAACATATTACAGTACCTAATCATCACCAACAGGAAAAAATAATCATAACTCTATTTAGTAATGTACATACATTTAACATTGTGATATTTACACTTCTGTTATTATATGATAAATGGAAATTGCAATATTTAAAACAACATACAATTGTATCCCATGTGTATTCTTTCATTATACAGCAGGGTAGCAAATACCTTACCTTTTCATACATTCTTGTCTAACCAAACTTATACACTCCTATGAGCTCGTAACCTACAAGCTGTACAGTACCTCAAACTTTCTCTAATACTCAGTCTTCTTGCCTTCACTACATCTCTTAACCATCTCTTCCATGTGTAAATGTCATCGAACAATTTCAGCCTTCACTCTACAGATATGTCCTATATTCTACGCACAGGTACAGTACAGTATTCTACCATCCTCACTTCATGTTACAGTATTTACTCCCCATCTCCACAGTTTCTCATTCAACAACACTTTTAAAGATCAAAGTTTTATCACCATCTATTAATGAAAGATGATTTACTCTGCCATACTTGCAAACACATATACATGTACAGTACAGTCTCTCCTCGACTTACGGCGGGGGTTCCGTCCCGACGACCAGGTCGTAAGTCGAATTGATCGTAAGTCGAAAAGGCGAAAATGATACATAGAAATTCTAAAATGGGTGTCTCTTTTTCTTCTCAGCACCACGAGAACTCTCACTTTTATGCTTGCCAGCAATTTTAAAGGGAATTACAAACGAAAAATTTTTCAGTACACAGCGCGATCACTAACGTCGGGACTCGAAAATACGTAAAGTGAAAAATATTTTATACGACCATGGCCGTCACATGTCCGAGTTGTCATAAGTCGAGTATGTCGAGGAGAGACTACTGTGTTTTTCCCTTGTATTACAATTTTCAGAGTACTATTAGTTCTCCCCTTCCAGTTCCTTTCAAAGCTTCATTTTCCATCTCCCTACTTTCTAAAAAATTTTCCTTGTTTATTAAGACTGTGCAACCTTTACATCATCAAACTTAAATACTTGCACAAGAACACATACAGTATACTGTACAATAGTTTAAAATATCTTAACCTAACCACACATAATGTAAAATACCTCCACATGACTACAGAACATAAAATACCTCTACATGACCTTACTGAATATAAAATACTTCTACATAACCCCATAGAACACAAAATACCTCCACATGACCATACAGTACATTGCATTCACTTTTAACAATTTTTTTAAATAAAACTCCTCCCAAATTCCCTACATTGTCCTATGGCAGGTTTATTGAACCAGGGATGCCTGCACCCCTTGAAGGTGCATGAAGTATTTCGCGGTGAAAACTGTAGTGCTACTCCTTCTGTGGTAAATTAGCAAAACCTATAGTGGAGCTATATTTCAAAGGTATTCTAACTGCTACTCACTACTTTTATAATGCTTTGTTTGTGGCAGTGCATTCTTTAGAAAACAATGCTAGAACTTGTCTGCTCCCAATCTGCAGTGATGAGGATGTGGCTGCACACACAGTACAGTACTGTAATAGGTTCTTTGCTCCGACCTTGGGATCTTTAATATTTTATTATGAATAGTCCATGAATATTGTGTTTCTGAACCATTCATATCATTGAGTTGACTGATAGACAATTCATTAATGAAATACTAGTCATCAAACCAGGAGAGGGACAGTGTAGAGAACATCCACGCCTTACGTGCGGTCAGCCAGTGGACATTTAGTTTGGTCATGTCCATGGTTTTGTAGGCATGCGGCTTGCGTGCTGTGTGGATCACCGATAACTTGAGCTTACAGGTACCGGAGGCATTGGTGGTAAACAGGACGGTGATGCATTCCTTCTGCATCTTCCGGCCCCGAATCTTGCTGGCATTCTTTACAACGAAGGACTTGGAAGGTAGCTTTTTCCAGAAAAGACCAGATTCGTCCATGTTAAACACCTGGTCGTCACTGTACTGTCCTTCCTCCATAATCTCACGTAAAAACGGAGGAAATTCCCTAGCCGCAGCACGGTCAGCACTTGCTTCTTCACCACCAATGTTTATATTGGTGATCTTGTTCCGGATCTTAAACCTCTGTAAACCACCCAGAGGAAGCATTAAAGGGTTTGGGCTCTGTAATTCCCATCTTTCTTGCCACTGCAATGTACAGTTCACGTGCGTACTCCTTAACAGAGCGCGTGTCGACCGCCATGTTCCGTCGCGCCTGATGCACCAAGTACCTCACAAGTAATTTTTCTGTCTTGAGAAGCACCTGGTTGTGAAAATACTTGATCATAGAAGCACCTGTAGACTTTGTGATCTTCATGTGCTCCTTTATCTTGGCTGCATCCTTCTTTATTGTTCGAATCGTAGATTCATTCACACCATGCTGGCGCGCCAAATCAACCTGCCTTGTTCCTTTCTCCAACTCTTGGATGATGGTATACTTCACCTCGTAGCTTAAGGAACGTCGTGTCTTCTTTGGCTTAGTGCCGCTGGGTCCAGGTAAGGAAAGGTTTCTCTCTGGGGGCGGTGGTCCGGCGGAAGCCATTTTACAGAACAATGGATACACGTTCTGGCGTGGAGGGATGAAACTGGCGCGGCTAGGTCAAGCATCGTTTTTCCTCCCTCCCTCCCTCCCTCCCCAGGGTGGACACGTCATAATACTTTAAGCCAATCACAGCTAGCAGCAGAGGGGGGTAGGGATGCATGGCCAATCACAGTCCGATACGTCACATGACGTCAGTGATAACGCAACAAAGACACACACTGTGCAACCTTACTGCGCGGCTTGCCCAGGCGGAGGGAGGAGGGAGGGAGGGAGGAGGAGGGAGAGGCGAGAGCACAGGCAGGCAGGCGGGTGGGGCGAATCTAAAAATAGCGTCGCGCCGGACACTCTCCGCGTAATGGGGCTCACGCACCGCGTAATGTGAGCACGTTAGGTTCTGGCAGGGCACCGCGTTAACGTGGAAACGCGGAATGTGGGACCGCGTAAAGCGAGGGTTGACTGTACAGTGTACCTAAATTATTTGTTTGCCTTTTTTCTATCTATCATTAGAAATTCAACAATTCTACAACCTTTAAATTTATATCGTTGTATATATGGTATATCTACTCTCATTCCCTTCACCCATTAATTTTTTAGTGCATGTTGTATGACTTGTGTGAAACAAACTAACATATATAATTCTTCAGCAGTTTTTCCAAAAAATACCATCGTATTTCCTCTGCAGTTTTGAAGATGTGTATATAGCTACCAGAATGAGTTAAGAAGACTGAATGTACCACCCTGCTGTAAGTTTTAAACACATATGGCCAGCAATAACATTAATGAAAATGACTCTGCATGTACAACCCTATTAAATATGTTTTCATATACAAACATGATACTTAGTGAAAGGGATAGAGAAAGCTCCTGACCCTTACTCCAGATCAAAGCTTCCATAAAACTTAAAACCTGTACTTTTAGGCTAGTGGAAACTAAGTCGAGTATCCTATCACCAAAATAAATTATAGCACTGCACAATCATATCACATATCAACTAACTCTTGTATTCTACTGTACCACTAACATCCAATTTCCCCCATAGGTCACATACAAATAACTCAGGCAGAACTTAAAACTAAATATGATAAACAATAAGACCCATTTGACCTGAAAGTTTGTGTATAATCTCATTAATCTTGTTTTATGTGTCATAGTTCACATTACGTACTTACAAGACCTCCCAAATGAATAATGTACATAGCAGATGCCACTAGAAATACATTACAAAATCCTAACAGCACCCAACTGTTACTAAGATGAGAGAGCAGTAGTGATGACTGTCTTTGTAGGAGTACCGCTACCCAAATATTAATCATTGTAAGGCAATAAACACACCTAAACAATCTTATTGTGTAAACTGTCTTTTCTACGTGAACTATACAATATATTCATTGTCAGTGCTTAGCTCTTTGAGTTTGGCTTTACAAAATGTCAAATATGTGGTAAACATCAATTCTGTTTACTTACACTATGAGATATGAGCACAATCAAAATGTATAATAACTATTGAAAAGACACTAAAAAGAATATCCTTAGTCTTCATAATCAGATTATAAAGTGACATAGGTAACATGATATTGTTGGCTGCAATTAAAATTTTGCTACACCTCAAATGAAAGAGCCATAAAACTATGAAATACTTGCATTTAGAGCTCCATCAACAGAATTGTAACCATTGCTTAGATTCACTGCCACCATTATGTGTCATGATTTATGCAAAGCTGCTTCCTTAATATTTTAAATGGAGTAATACTTAGCTTTTTTTCTATTTCTAGTTCTTCTCTGCTTGAGTTAATTTTCACACTCACCAGGAAATGGAAGTGACAAGTATGAGGCACTATTTTTTTTCTATAATGATTCCATCATGATCACAGTGGTGTCTAACTGTCAAGCTCAGGTTCAACTGGACCAATAATAATTACTGCATAAACAAACTGTACTGTATAATAATACTCTATACTGATAATGCTCAGCAATGTGAAGAAAAATGGGTGCATTCCCCTCTCAAGTGCCTGTCGTTTCACTACCTGTTTCAAAAACCAATGAATAAGAAGAGAGCATTTTTCCCCTTTCAGCCTCAGAAAAAAATAACATAAGATTAAGAAGAGGAGTTCCCTGAATGTGCCATCACTCCACAAGAAAACTATGATCACCAACAAGATTAGATAATCCCACCAACATATGTAAACAGCAAACTACAGTATAGAGGCTGTGGGAACACTCAAAATATTATGCATTACACAACCTCATTTTTGTTAACTTCACATACATTGGTAGTATCCAATTAAGAATAAAAAAATAAAAACTGAGAGGTTGATAATCAAATTTAGAAACTGCTTTTAAAATAATGAAATAAATTACTATAGATAATCATCCCCTGAATGATTGCAACTCTTAAGCTGAAGATTTAAACCATCATGAGACATTATTGTAGACATAATATCTATGAGACTCGACTTCCAACCACTAACCTCATAAGTTTGTGACCCATGTCATCAGTAAGAGGGAGGAAACTCTGCCAACTAGTGTTTGTAATACTTCCCTCAAGCTGCTGGGACATGTCATGATCAGTCACACCCTGGCAGCCATTAATTATTATAATTTCAAAGAAAAAAGAATTACCAATTTGTGTGTGAAGTGTTGAGGTCTTCCAACTTTCCAGCATTTTACTATAAAACCTTGTCTTTTAAGATGTCATCTACTTTTGACCAGAAATATATAGTTGATGATTCAGCAAATTTAATCAAGAAGTTCCAGAAGAGGACTCCCTGCCTTAATGTCCCAAAAGTAAAATTGTTGGATCACTTGGCACTTAATTACAAATCACAAATACGGTATATACCGTATATTGTGAAAATTCAAGGGTTTACTGTACAAACAAATTCACGTATGCTATTACGGATATCTAGGATATAACAAAATTTACGAGTCTGACTCACAACCCCTTCCTGTAGGTAAATGACTTCAATCTACTGCAAATCCAAATATCTCAACACCTTTTGGTTCTTCACCTGGAGATTGTTTCAGGGAACAGTTTTACATACCTTTGGTGATGGTTATGTAAACTAATCCATGCAATATTACAGTGTGACCAACATACCTGAAGGGTTCAATAACTGTCCATTGGGATGTACTGTATATAATCATGTGAAATGATATTGTAGTTAATTCCTAAAAACATTGTCTAAATGTTACAGTAAGATTTAGTGGTGGTTTGTGTAACTCATTCATTTAGTCTGTCATCTGGAAGAATATACAGAGACGAGTAGAAAACCAGCTGCATTAATATATCCTCAAACAGTCGGCATGAACGTGATACAGAATGCACTTCTTCTAAAACTCAAGGGCTTAATCGAATGTTCCAAGATTAACATCTGTTTTCAGTAATGATGCAATGATGTTACAACAAAACCAAAATCAACAGTGTTTATCAACTCTATATGAAGTACTGTACTTTACTTCTAAAATTTAATTAGACTGCACTCAATAGAACTTTAGCCATTGTGCAAAAATATTTTATCTAAATTCAGACAAAAAGTTCAAAATCAATAGGGTTCATCAACTAAGTAAAAAGAACTTGCATTCTGGTAAATAGTCTAGTTGCCTCTGTCAGTCAGGAAAAATGAAGATTAATGGATAGATAATCAACAGGAAAATTGATAAATGAAAACACGCACGCACGCGCACACACACACACAAAGACAGTTGGGTGGCCAACAGCATGACGACCCCCAAAAAACATTTGTTCTTAAATGGAAAAGGATTATATAAATGTTACTAAACTATTTTCTATCTATAAAAGTAACAATGTTGAAAAGCTCCATTTCAAAACCAGAGTTTAACAAGACCAAATGTGTATAAAGAACTTATGAATGAAGTTTAGTTCAACCAAATTACCTGTAGATACAAACCAAATAGTAATAAACCTAAGAAGAGTGTGAGCAGAAATCAATGAAAAGATCCCAAACTTTTGAGGGAAGTTTGTGCCTCTCCATGAGGGAAAATTTTGTGATAATTTTCAATGGATATGCTGAAAACTAGCTTCACTATGGACACACCAGCAACCTATGAATGCAGGTCAGCAAACTGAGACTGGGAGCAGATACACCGAGAAGCATCAAAGAAAATAATGGTTTGGGTTTAGTCATTGTTTTTTGCAATAAGTAGTGACAAAGTCCATTTTGTATAACAATAGCTCAGTTGTCTCCAAAGAAAGCAAAGAGCTATTATCACCACCATTGGACCTGTCTTTGTCACTGTCACTGTCTGGTTTAATTTTCATTTACCTCAGTAGCTTAAATGATCTAAAGGAGCATTTGCATCTGCTCACAAAGTTGTCAATGTACAGTATTGTTTATTTAATCCTATTAATGATCCAGATGAACATGTAACTGGACCTGCTCCAATATGAACAAGAGGACACTGTAGAAAAAAATATAACACAGATTCTTGTGGCTTTCATTTTTCTAATATAATGAGTCCCTGCTTTAATTGTATTTCGTACAGTATAACCTGCACTAGAAATTACCTACATTTTATTTACCTTAACCATAAGATCATTCAGTGTTTTACTAATTCTCTTTTTCATGCCACACAACACTCACAGTATATAGCACTCCCATGTACTGTATTATAGGCCCATGGTTGGCTATATTCACATACTACATTCTATGTACTCACGAGAAGTTTAAAAGAGTATTATTAAAAAAAATTATTTTACTAAAAAATAATCAACATTTACTGATTCCCTTAAGTCTTGAAATGATCCCTTGAGTATTGCTTAACTATTTTGCATGACCACAATTTCAGCAAAAAATCAGGCTTTGAGTTTCACAATGATGAGGCACCCACAGTCATCAAACACTAATCTTTGACTGGCACAATATACCCTTTTCATCACATTGTGCTGTGTACCTCTTCTGTTTTTAACCATCTTGTCCTTAGTTGTGAATTTCCCAGCCTGTTAAATGGTCAGTTTTGTGGAGGTTAATACAGTAATTAGTTTCTTACTTGTTTAGAAACTGGTTCTTCAACTTATAATGATGTGTCTAAAGTTCAAATTTAATAAAAACACACAGGAAGAAGAACACCATACTAGTGTATATGTTAGTCTTTTTTTGCGAAATTGGGTATTTTGTAAAATTCCCGGCATATTTTGTGAAATAACTTACAAACAGACAACCTAAACTAACCTAACCTTATGATTAGGTTAAGTGAGAGGTGAGGTTAGGTTAGGATGGCTCGTATAGATTGATACACAGTTAAGTGGTCCTGTTCTTTGTTTTTTTTTAACTTTGGTTAGCCTGTTTGTAAGTTATTTTGCAAAAAAAAACGTAAAACAGCCAGTATATATAAAAAAAAAATTTACATCATTACTGTAACCTGTTTCTTATTCCTATTAAAGTTAAAATTCTTGAAAACCAAGTAGTATTGAGTATTGCAGTACAGTACATAGTTTAATTTATATAATACTTCTACTCTGACAAAATCACACAATTAATTGTTGAATTAAGTAAGTGAAATTCCCTCTAGCCAAGAAGACAAATCTGCTGTGCCTTCAACATCCAGAACCACCTCAGGAGGAGTGTCAGGCATACACAGTACCTGTGCTGCATCTCGACCAGAGAGGTAAGCTCCATGGACCGTTGAATAGAAGCTTGGGTGGCAGTGTTCACCAGCAAACAATACTGCTGGCTGTGAATAAAAAACAATTATATTTATCGAGTATCTTACTGGAAATGCCAAATATTGTATCAATAAACAACAGTCTCTTCTAAACTCTATACTAGTCCTTCATTAATTTGCTCTTTCTACTATCAGGGAAAAAGAAGAAACAAACCACAAAGTACAAATAAATTGAAGGGCAAACACTAGAATCATACAGGTTGTGTATTACTAAGAATTATTTTCTCAAAACATACAAGAATAGCCCGGGTTGGCTACCCCCCACACAAAAAACAACACCAGGTATAATCCTGAGGAATTGCACTAATATGGCCGGATACATGTCAGACATTGTTACAGTCAGTGAACTGTTATTTGTCAGGGTTACGTCCTAAAAAATAGGAATGATTAATGAAACAACAAATTGTGGAGAGTTTTCCCCATAAAAATTAGTGGAATAAGAGGGGTCATGTTCCTATGCGAGAATATTTTCAATTTCTATAAATGTTTGTTTCTAGGTCAGCATCCACACTTGCATGAGAAGGCAGCAATTTATGCATGCTTACATCCATAAACAAACATTCAAAAGGTCAAAATGGACTGAACAATGACAATCTACACTTCATTTTGTGACTGGTGACAAGGAATTTTATCCGAATATCAAAATATCCAGGACAGTACAGTACATGTATTTGTTTCAGAAGTGCAGTAGGTATTCCCCTATTTACAATGGGGTTATGTTCTTGAAAAACCCATCACAAGTTTGAAACACATTATCATAAATCAGGATCATTATAATATGGGGTTCAATGGGATAAGTTCCCAGCCAGTCAGACATCCACATGTACAGTATTACAAAAAATAAAATCAATTCCTCCACTAATAATATACTAAATAAAAACACTATTAAACAACACTCACCACATCATTAAGAACAAGTCTGGTCATCATCATATGTCCCCTTTGAAGCTAAGGGGACTCTTGAAGGTGGAGTGGAGGCATCACTCTGACTCCCACACAGCCTCTGGGGAGTCAGTCCCATGCCACTTCCCAATGTCAAGCTTCTCCTCCAGAGACACAGTTTTCCTGGGTGTCTTGGCCTTCCCAGACATTTTCAAAGTTACACTGCTCACTTCACAGTCATAAAAACAGAGCAAAAAGACTTGCCGCAAAAACAGTGCGAACAATGATTACGTTATTGTAGCCGACACTGCTCACATCATGTTCACAACAACAGAGGCAAAGCACTTTACAGTCACAAAAAAACATAGCAAAAATCGCTTCACAGTCACCAAAACAGAGTAATGTCTTCTCACTGTAAGATGCGATCACCATAGAACAAAGCATCAGTTGACCATGTGGCAACACATGGGTAGACCGCAGCTGACAAGTGCACAGGGATAAGCAGTCCATATTCAGCGTTGGCCAGACAATGACTATCACTCATGCAAATTTTTTTATTGTATGCCTGTATAGGGAGGTGATCTTAATATATCACCATCGTTCAAGCAAAATAATATCGCAAATAAATTAAAAATCGGGGTGTACCTGTACTATACCAAAAGTCAATATAAGAAGTATTTTTCTCAATTGTGAGGTTAATTTTTTTTTTTCACTGCACAATTTTAAGTAATGTATAATGAATAAGAAAATAAGACTTAACAGGTATCAACATTATATTACTAACAGGCTATTTTTTACAAAAAGACTATCCAAAAACTCTCCTTATATACAGGCATACTGTATAAATAAATGCTAAAATTGCAATTGGTCTCAGTCTTGACTTCTAAGGGTCTCGGTATCTGTTTTAGACCCAGTGGTCTCAACTCAAGTGGCAATGAATGTAAAGCCATATTAAAACAGTGTATCATGAGTTATCCACAAAGCCTGAAGACCATAAAACATTCAAAGGTCTTGTTACCTTCAAGGTTAATGTCTAAATAGCTTACCAGAATCATCAAAAAATCAAACAATACTTTTGCAATATGTAAATCAATATATTAAGGTAAATTTTCTAAGACTTACCCAGAGTAACAAAATAAATTAAAACAATGCCACAGTGCCAAATATCTTCAGTGTTTCTTAGAGCATAAAACTGAGAAATAAAGTGATGCAGTCCTTCTTACCTTGCTGCAGGTGGGCTGCATGTATAGTGGGTGGGAGATGTTGGTTATGTCCACCTGTGACGCTCCAATTCCTAGAGCCGAGTACGACCCTCGAGTGAAAGGTTGTGACCACCAGGTTGTGCTACAATAACAAAGTCTCTGAATAAATTTCTAAGGAGATGACTGTTTAGCCATCAAGAGAATAAAGTAAGGAATAAGAAATTTTTCTGAAGCTTCTGTTACTGTGAACTGCAGCTCAATATCACAAAAATGAAACTCTAAAGTACAGTACGTGTACAGGGCACAAACAAAGAAAAGACATGAACAAATTAATAGGGGTGTACTGTACTGGATTTCAGATCTTATTATGCAGCCACATAATGGAAAAATATTCAGCCAGATACAAGATAATTAGATGCACAAATCCCCTATAATGTACCTTGCTCAATGCTCAGTACTCCTTGAAACAGCATTTAATTTTTGAGGAATTTCTCTTAATCATATAGGGCATACTACAAGTACTGTAGACAGATTTTATGATGATCAAATACTGAGACAATAGGTAAAGGTTGGGATGGTCAGAAAACATGAGGAAGATCAGTTGGTTGATGTTGGGTTGATCAGAAGATGTGAGCAAGTTCATGTGTTATAAAGATTAACCAGCAGATGTGTGGGTGATCAGTAGATGTTAGAACAATCAATCAGAAAATGCATGGATTATCAGATATTGGAGTGATCAATCAGAAGATGATCCACCAGTGAAATAGAGGTGTTTCACACACACACACACACACACAAACATACACACACACAAACACACACACACACACACACAAACACACACACCCAAACACACAAACACACACACACACAAACACACACACACAAACACACACACACACACAAACACACACACACAAACACACACACACACACAAACACACACACACACTCTTCAGAGCTGATAGGATACATTAGCCAGATCTGTGAAACATAAAGCAGTCCTACAAATTCAATGTACTGTACTGTACAGTAGTGAAGAGAAGATTGAAGATACCCCAGAAATAGGAGAATTTCTTCTTCATGTACTAATTCATTGTATATGATTCATCTGGACAGATGGGAGTATGATAGCAAAGGAAACACAAGATGACACTGGGAATTTTACTCTTGATACATGTTTCAACCTTAGTCTTCCTCAGAGTAAAATTCCCAATGTCGTCTTGTACTTTTTTCTACCATGCTCCATACTAATTCATTCTTCTACAGGCAAAAAAAAATGAAATAAATAAATATATATCACGCGCACCTACAGTAATTTACTTGCATATATATATACAGGTTGACAATCCCTTATCCGAAATCCTTGGGGCCAGAGGCATTTCGGAATTTTTCGGTTTTCAGAATGTTTAATTATTATTATTATTGTTTTTTGTTTTGTTTTTTGGCCTACCCGGGCACAAGTCACTGACCCACATTGGGGCCTGGGTGGCGAAAATATAATAAAAATTATAATAATAATAACAATTCATAGGTCTAGGTCGTGTTTCTTACTTTTGATCTTTTTTTCATTCTTTTATTTCTTTATTATTATTATTATTTTATTATTACAGTATTATTGTTATTATTATTATTAATTGTATTATTATATTTTATTATTATTATTATTATTATTATTGTTATCATTATTATTTTATTTTGGTGTATTTTTTATTACAATTTTTATTTACTATGAATAATTATTATAATTATTATTACTATTACATTTTCGCCCCCAGGCCCCGATGTGGGTCAGTGATCTATGCCCGGGTGGGCTAATCCCTGTTTATATAAAAAAAAAAAAAGTTTGCCCACAAAAAAAACTTTCGGTTTTTGGAATTTCGGATAAAGGGTTGTCAACCTGTATATATAGTCAACCTGTATATATATATATATATATATATATATATATATATATATATATATATATATATATATATATATATATATATATATATATATATATATATATATATATATATATATATATACTGTATATACACACAGTATGCAATCTTCTACATAAATAAAAATTGGCATACAAGAGACAACTTCTTGGTATTTTTGGAGACATCAACAATCCTCTCCATTATAACCAAAATTAACTTACTTGATACATCTCTTTGGTTTGGGTATGAAAGGATCATTCAAAAACTGACGAAGGATTTCAGTACATTTCTCAGAGACGACATCAAATGCGAGAGTTTCCATATATTTGGCTTCCTCTCCAGAGATCCATGCTAAGAGAAGTGTTTCAGACACTTTGGTAAAAGAGTAAATCTTCTTAAACCATCGCTCACTCACTGGTTCCTTAAGGTCTATTGGATCCCACAAACACAGCACTTCTGATAAACCAGGGTTCAAAAATGGCCGTTCATATTCTAAATATATTTTGTCCACTACACCAAAGCATAATCTGTTAATAGAATCAACCTTGTAGTCTGGAAGCGGTGGGTCAAATAGCGTCTTTCCACTTTCCTTTAACACTCCTAATGGAATAGTACAAATTACATGCTCAGCATAAAACTTTTTGCCATTTTTACAAATCACTTCCACCTTAGGTCGAACCTTCTTTGATGGGGATGTAGCTACAGAGGCATGTCCACTCCTACAGCCAGGAAGGTGAATGTCAGAATTTAGTAAGGTTTTGTTTGTGATATCTTCTCCCAGCCCTGAATCTGTGGTGTTAAATCCCTCCAATCCAGCTCTCCATCTGATTGATGTAACCGGGTGTCCTTTCAAGAATTTTTCATCTGGGATGTCTTTAGTAAGAGGGCCAAGAATACTGCTGTAACCCCCTGGCAATATTATGTTACCTCCTGGGAGCTCTGTGTAACTACCAATTTCCATGAGATCAATTTCTTCCATCGAATCACATCCACTTATACAAGTTTCACGGTTCAGGAGGTAGTTAAATATGAGGTTTCTGATGTGTCTCTCGTGTCCAGAGAACTGCTCAAGATATATGGACATCTCTAATTTGAGGTGAGCTCCTACACTTTTAACACCATCTGGAGGAAGATACTTGCATAGAAAATATTCCTCACACCGTTTGAAGAACCAGAAGTATGCATCATATATCTCCTGAAAAGAGGAAACATAGAAGTAAAGCAATAATCCTTAAACTGTACTCAGCAAGAATTATCTTCCAGACTATTCTGATGGTGAAAGTAACAAGGTTAAACAATTTAAATCCGCCATTTCCTTTGTTCATATTATACTTAGGCAGAAACATATACAGGGTACTAATATAATAGAAGGTCTACTTATGTCTGTAAAAATTCTATTCAAACATATTTACATAAAACTGTACATATTTTACATTGCCTGCCCAGTCTACAGCTGATAACAGATACATTTTCTGAAGGTTATAACTTAGAGTTGGTTAATGGCCCTAAATCTTGGAACCCTGACCTGTGACCAACCTCACCGAAACAGAAGCTTCCAGGAAAAACAAAAAGTAGGAAAAATCTCCAAATACTGTACTGCATTAATTACAGTACTCACACTGGAAGGGTTGAAATAGTGTGATCCAATACTTCATTTCACTTTGAACAAAACATTTTGAATTTATTGTTTGTACAAAACAAAAATACTGAACAAAAAATATCAACATGTCAGAAATGCTGGGCATGAATAGGCTCTAGAATGTACAGACAGCACGAAAGGTTCCCTGTATCTACACCTGCAGTCCATACATTGAGTTGCCAGTTACTCTTTATCTTCTGTTTTCTATAAGGTGTTTTAATTGTGTCAGTGAGCACACTGGGTTTCACATAATACGAATAGCTAAAGCAATGAGCATGATTTCTTATCATGTGGTTACTGTATAATAAAGAGGTTTTCTAAGTTCGTTTCATAGCACAACTTATAAAACTTACAAAATATAGTAATTTATAGTGTTCTTCCTCTTGGATGATGTCTTATGTTTCATCCAATACTGTAACTTTAGATCAAATATAAGCCAAAAGACTGAGGGGTAAAAGAAACCTCACTTCATCTCATGATACACAGAATTCTATACGACAACTCGCTTCTTATAGCAGAAAACATTTGTTATTTGGGTAATACAATGTAGTACTGTACAGTATATTCAGTATATAATAACAAAATAATGTCTTTTTCGTCAAGGTCTTCTATATATTATGGTTAATTTCTCTATTTTAACTATACTATATGACATACAGGATACAGTAATATATTTGTTACACAATGTTTCACACAATCAGAAATACAGTACTGCACCATTACCAAATGTCAGTCACAATGACCATTTTGAAGGCCATCAGACCAGGGGTGAAAAACCTTTTTTTACTGACTGTACCTGAACAAGTGCCAATGTTGATCAAGTCTGACCTTAAAGGAACTCACACTCAGTGCTGTCTTAATATTTTTTGGCTGGTAATTCCAAGAGTTTACAACTCCTACTGTTACAACATTCTTTAGCAAGTTATTACAACAGTTCACAACTCTTGCTGTCACAACATCCTCTAGCAAGTTATTACTGTACAACACTTCAGAACTCTTACTCAAAAGAAGCTAGCTCTTACAATTTTCTGTATTCGTGGCTTGTTTAACTTGAGGCTGTTATCTTTAGTGCAAGACCATCATATGTTTTTAATGTTTCTCCCACCCTCAATACCACAGAAAATGACAGCCGAATGTGTCATCTGCTACCACTGACCAGTAGTATCAATGCAGATCACACTGACAAAGTTCTACTGCTCCATCATTCACCTTGAGTCTAAACAACTGCTAGTCCAGGAAGCAATTGTTCACTCATGGTGAGTTATACTGTAATATGTTAAAAAAAAAAAATTTAAATGATGGAATTAGTGGTGAAGTGAGGAAAAGGTGTCTTTACGGAATTTTTTGGTGAATACAATATTTTGAGGCTGCAATCCCATACTCTATATTTCCTACTGAAACACATAATGACATAATGCGACAATTCTCGGTCTTACTCTTGCATTACTGTACATCAAGGGTCTACTGTAGTTTAACCTTCATAGGTATCTGGCACACTATAATAGCCTAAACAATTCCCTATCAATTCTAAATGTGAGTTTGCTGGGGTCGTTTATGTCCCAGTTGCTTTTTGCAAGTCATGAAACTTTGTGAGTAGAGGAGTTCATAATTAATTATTGTCTGATTGAAAAAATGGCCCAATACATTCAGCTGAATTTGTGTGAGTGTGTGTAAACAAAATACAACATAGCCTACTGGCTGGCCTAAAGCAACAGATGGCTACCAACAAGGAAGAAAACTTAACCTCACCCTAGGAATCTCTGGTTTTCTAAGATCCAGTTTCAAGAGTCTGTACCAGTGCAACATTTACACTGTATAGTCTCTCTTCGACTTACGACAACCCGGAAATCCGACGGCCATGGTCGTATAAAATATTTTTCACATTACTGGTACGTATTTTCGAGTCCCGACGTTAGTGATCGCGTTGTGTACTGACAAAATTTTTGTTTGTGAATTCCCTTTAAAATGGCTAGCAAGCGTAAAAGTGAGAGTACTCGTGGTGCTGAGAAGAAAAAAGACACCCATTTTAGAATTTCTATGTATTATTTTCGCCTTTTCGACTTACGCCCAATTCGACTTACGACCTGGTCGTCGGGACGGAACCCCATCGTAAGTCGAGGAGAGATTATACTTGACACACACATTCACCTTGTCAACCCCTACAACTGATGCATTATTTAGTTGCAGTAATATCTTTCAAAGATTTGGCACTGAAGTACAGTCTAAGTGTTACAATGACACTTTAATCTCATTAGTACAAGACCTTGACTTTAACCTTCAACAAATGTAAACCAAAAAATATGAGTTTCCATGGATGACCTTTAGAAATCTAATCAGAATGCTTGAAGGCAACAACAGAAAGAGTCTGACAGTTATTGTTTGGGCTGAAAAACAAAAAGAATAATAAACTGAGAAGTAAAGGCAGATGTGGAAGTTCTGTTATGACATGGGTATGGTCTGGATTGTGAAAAACACTCATACAGGGTACATGAAAACATCTGCCCCATTTTATTATGTTCCAATAAAGCAGACTTAGGGTAATTAACCAGCACCTCAATACATTCAAAAGATTTCTGAGAAAATACAAATGCCCTGTATCACAAATCATAAAAGCATTACAATAAGATTTTACCTGCAATATATGGAATGGCACCCTTTTACCATCTGGAAGTGTGGCAACAACATTGTGTGGCTTGTTTTCTTGGATGATGTTGACAAGTCCATGTGAGGAGGCCAGCTCATAGATAGGATTGCCCAATATACCATGTATCCAATTGGCACCTAGTTCCATTCTCCGTCCATCTATAGCATATAACAAAAAATAATTAACTCCAGGACAGTCCAGTATATAGCCACTTCTGACATGGCAGGCAGATTTTAGAATAAAATTTTAGTTTCAGTCATCCCTGTAGTAATATCTCCATTAGCCGGAATCCCTCTTAACCGGAACTCTCCGATAACCGGGATTGACATTTTTTGGGGGAAAATCGTTCCCAAAGCTGGAAATTTCTGGAAAATTCTGAGAAAAATTTCCCAGTACCCAGAAAAATTCCAGGGATGGGGGATTTCTTTCCAGGTTTGAGAGGTGATGTACTGTAATGCACAATTTCTGGAACTTCCAAGAAAAATTTTCCGTCGCCCAGAAAATTCCGTAAAATTCTGGGGATGGGGAAATTTTTCCAGCTTTGAAAGGGACGTCTTGTCACCTGGAAATCTCTCATGCCCAAAGGTGCTCTGCACTAATTGTTCCAGCTAATGGAGATGTCACTATTTACATATGCAACCTAACCTAATGTAACCTAACTCACCCTGACCAACCTAACCTAGCCACAAAACCCAGGAACTATATCTAACCAAATTGGGAGGGCTTCACCCACCAGACCCAACCTTTCTAATGGGGATTAAGTTCCTAACATTCCCAGGATGATCAAAACTAAAATAATATCACCCAAACTATGTGATTTCCAACATATATGAAGGTCCAAATCATTCAAAAAACATAGGAAAACATTGGAATAACAAACTTTGGATATCTTATCTTACCTAACCTAACCTAATTCCTAAGTTTCCCCTGGATGACCGAAACTGAAATAATACCGATTTTAGAGTCCTCTCTGCAAACATGACATAAAAAAGTGTAAAAGTGATATTATACAAAACTTATTGCTCATGCACTTTTTGTCAATTTCATGAGGTAACACAGTGGCATGTTAAGGCATGTAACTCATTAAGACTAATACCAAAAAAAAAAAAAATAGGAAATATGCAATTACTCCAACATTTTTATGGATATTAAGGAAAGAAACTAAGATTTCTTGTTGCTTGTGAAGCGGGATAAAGTACAAAAAATTAATAAAAATACGGTAAAGGTGTAGAAGAGGGTGACCACCAGAAGGAATTGTGTTTAATATCATGGTAAATTTGCATAAGCGCACCACACTCTGTTAGAAAGTCAAAAATATATTTTTATAGTGTATTTGTGTGTTTTGACCGAATATGACCTTCATTTCTGTCGGAAATTGGCAGTTTTTCTTTAATCGACTTTTTTTCGTGGGACGTTTTTCGAAAAAAATAATGGCTAAGCGAATAAAAAATACACCAAAAAACACTAGAAAAACAAACCAAACCAAACCAAACCAAACCTAACCTAACTGACTCTCACCATATGATGGAATCACCTATTTCTTACCTTATTGGCCTGGTTCTTGTTCGTCGTTGGATTCTGAGATTCTTACAGGTTGCTGACGTTGATTCGAGACCCAAAATAAAAATCGAACTTGATTGGGCCAAAAATACCGCGACTTAAATAAAAAATCATTTTAATGGGTTGCAAAAAAAAAATGCTTTTGATTGGCCACGTGATGTGTACGGGAACACATGAGCGTGATGATTTATGAAAGAGACACGCAGTGTGGGAGGTGAGGTAGGCGATAATGGCATTAGATTAATGGAAGAAAATAGAGAAAATTTTGGATACCCTATCTACGTTATTATACATTTGCGACGTTAATATATTAGATGAAAATTATCTTAGAATTAGACGTCTTACTCGAATATGGTAATAGATTAGTGGTAGGAATGTGTGGTGTGAAAACGCAATACAGTAATACCAATATCATGATATTAAACACATAAATGGAATTGACAATGCATAGAACCTAATAGAACCTGACCTAACAAACCCATAGGTTGGCTATGTTAGGTCAGGTTCTATTAGGTTATATGCATTGTCGTTTCCATTTTTGTGTTTATTATCATGATATTAGTGTGTAGAAATTTGTCAACCAATTCAGACAATTCCTTCTGGTAGTCACCCTATTCTACACCTTTACCAAAAATACTTAAAATCATAATAGAAAGTTGTCGTTTCTTTTAACATACTTAAAATCATCAAAACAATAAGTACAGCAAAAATAAAGAAAATTAACAAACAACTTATGGTGTTAGCCGTTATCTACACCTTTACCCACTTAACATAATACACACCAAACAATACTTGATTTCTGTGATTTTTTACCTATAGTAATGGCGATAATCCTTCCTCCAACTCTGTTTCTTCCTTCAATGATCACAAAATCGTTTATGTTGTTTTTTAACAAGTGGTTGGCCGCCGATAATCCTGCCATGCCTGCACCGATAATGACAGTTCTGCAGGTGCGTACATTATCAGGGTTATTGCCGTCCCCGCCTGTGTCGTCTGCCTTCACCTCCGACATGTTTACATTTCTTGACTGAGACAGTGTTGCCAGCGCCCAGATTCTCGCAGTGCCGCCTCCCTACTGCTAACTGTAGCGGATCATCAGTTTCATCACTCCTCCGGAAATCCTTGATAGGCGTATTCATAAATATGTATTGTACAATTTACATTCTGCAGTATTAATTACTCGGATCACCTGAAGAATCGTCACCCCAGATTTTGACAGGGTGATAATTCTTCGGGTGGGACTGTGGAGTATGGGATGTTTGTGTTCACACTCAGGATGGGATGGAGAAAGGAAACTCACAATGTGCTCTCTGTATACATGTTGTATTGGATGTACAATGCAGCTTGGTACTGGTTAGTGGCAGCGTGGTTACAAGCGTGATGTAGAGAGAGCTGGTTGGTGAGGATACTCAGAGGACAGCTCGTGGGTCGCCATGCTCGCCGGCGGGAGCGAGGACCGCCAGGCAGCGGCGGAGGTGGTGGTGTAGCTTGCTGCGGCTGTAGCTAGAAGAGGGAGGGCACCACGAGGTCAGGTCTTAAATAGCGGAGGTAGGCGTGGCTTAGTAGTTGACCTCCGTGATGTATGGCGGCGCTGGTTGACCCAGACCACGAGGCATACACTGGGGAATTCGCGGGATCGGCTACTCAGCGACAAACAGCGTTTGTAGGGGAGAAATCCACTACAGGACAACCGGGGGTGACGAGTCTTCAGATGGTAAAGCCTGAGGTGACTGACCATTCTTCAGTAGGGTCAGGGCCCTCCACGGTGGTTAATCTTCAGGCATAACCTAACCTAACCTATCCATTGTAATACGAGTCGTGTATTTTGAAATATTGAGTAAAGTATTTTATATTCAGCCGTGATGATTCTTCAGCTGGAGCGGGCTGAAGTGATGATTTTTCACATCGAGCGGGCTGGGGTTGAAGATTCTTCAAGTGGGACAACCTGGGGTTATGATTCTTCAAGTGGACACTCTGGGATCACGATTCTTCAGGTGATCCAATTGCTCAATTGTTTTCACATTACAGCCGTAATTACGAGCATTTCAGCCTCTTTAACTTTGAACTTAGAAAACTGAATAGCATGAGAAGACAGAGTGTAGAACTGCACACAGAGTTCAATCTCTTATAATTTTTATATTTGTTGGAATAGTGTATTACTACCCTTGTTACACGCTATACCAAGTAGACCTGCGGTAGTAATCCGCCAGCCTTGGATAGTCCAAGCGAAATGTAATCATTACATTTCGCTTGGACTATCCAAGGCTGGCGGATTACTACCGCAGTTCTACTTGGTATAGTGTTATTTTGCATGTTGAATTCTATCAAATAAACTTTCACTAACACTCCTGTAGATATACATTACTGATTGGAGACCAAGCGTAAGCTTAAGCAAAGGACCCTCCTGGAAATAAGTACCTGACAGCTTTGGCAGCTATCTTTGGTCATTTCTTATTTTTTACCATATTGTCATTTACCTGCACTTTCTCGGCACACAGGAAACTGTCTACTCCACGGCCTACGTGCATGTGATCTATGTTACGCACAGTTGGCAAATACAAGGCGTGCACTGGATCCAAAAGTATAATTCTGTACTTGGTCAAATAAGTCCAGTCTGGTGGGGATAACAGTGTGAGATTGTAGTGGTACACCAGCTCCTCTTCCTGCCCCAAGCACCATGTCCTACCGACCCCAACACACCCGTCCTGCCTCAGACACCGCCCCCTGCCACTGTCCTGACCCTCCTCCTGACGCGGACCCTCCGCTCCTGCCTGGCAGTCCCTGCTCCCGACGCGGCCCATGCTCCTGAGTGCGGCCCCACACACCCTTTTTTTTTCCCCTCAGGTACTCCCTGCTACTGTCCTGCACCCTGCTGCTGTCGTGGATCCTGCTGCTGTCATAGACCCTCTTCCTGACGCAGCCCCTGCTCCTGACCCAGACCCACACACCCCAGCAGGCGCATCTGAGGACTCTGTACCTGCCGCGAGGGAAGCACAACATTCATCGCCTCCACAACCCTCCTTCTCCCTCTCTCCTCCCACAGATCTCGTGTATCTAGACAAAGTTGTCTCCACTAGCGGCCGGCTCATCCACGCCCTCGCCGTTATGTCTCACATGTGGCATGCACAGCCCGTTCTTCCTCACATGTGCAATGCAACCCTGCAAGCAACAAGTCTCCTACATCGCCTGGAGGGAAGGGGGAGTATTGTAGTGGATTCCTCCCCTACAAACGCTTGTCGCTGAGAAGCCGACCCCGCGAATTCCCCAGTGTATGCCTCGTGGTCTAGGTCAACCAGCGCCGCCATACATCACGGAGGTCAACTATTAAGCCACGCCTACCTCCGCTATATAAGACCTGACCTCGTGGTGACCTAGCTCTCTTTTCTACCTACACCAACCAGCAAGCAACACCTCCTCCTCCTACCTGGCGGCCCTCGCTCCCGCCGGCGAGCATGGTGACCCACAAGCTGGTCCTCCTCTGAGCATCCTCACCAACCAGCTCTCTCTACATCACGTTTGTAACCACGCTGCCACTTCCCAGCACCAAGCTGCACTGTACATCCAATACAATATGTATACAGAGAGCACATAGTGAGTTTCCTTTCTCCATCCCATCCTGAGTGTGAACCAAACAACCCGAACCCCACAAGAGCTTTCAGCTCCACACACTTGAGCCACTAGATATTAATTTTTATACTGAGCTTAAATCTTTAAAATCTACAAGTAATATAATTTCTTTAATTTTCCTGTATAGTATTCGGCTATAATATGCACTGCAATGAGCGAGAAGTGCTACAAATGACACTCCTACATTACTGGAGTTAGCAGTACTAGCTGTCTTTGGTAATATTGTCTGGTTTGGTCGCTTACGATTCCATTCAATATTTCACAGCTGATGTCAAAACATGGCAAAACATGCATAGAAATTGGTAACTTTCGCAAGAGTTTACCGTTGTGTTTATTCAAATTCTTCAAAGTTGGTCATTTAAAAGTAAATGAAAATGCACACGGCTAATTTATGCCAGATAACAAGACAGGATATAGCGGTATTATTGATCCATGAACTAGCAGTTGATTAATGCTTCCAATTTCTTGAACTGTACATAAGGGATAAACTAAGTCAAAACTGATCGAGCACTAACTCTAATGATTTGCATAGACTATTGGGTGCAATTGACTTATTCTTCCATAGGAGACTGACCGGGGTGATTGTGGCAGGTTCCCTGTCTGCGGGTCAGGCTCTCTCCTTCCCTGAGCTTACAGTAGTTCAACGTATCAGTTAATCACACGCCTCTTGGATTTAGCTCGTGAAAACTCGTTATAAATTTCCTGATGAATCCATCTAATATTCATTTAGTATAAAATAGTACTGTTGACTCTCGTTAAGATTGACTCAACAGCTGACCAGTCCACGTAGTTGTTCTAATTTTCATGCTTATGATGCAGGATTGTTTGTAAATTCATCACACTCTTAACAGATGATCTTAAGCACAATCTACCTATGAATACACCTGCAACAAATAATGTGTTAAAAAAGGATACAAAAAGTACACTAAAATAAAACAATTACTAATGTTATATCATAATAAAAAGGTAGAGAAGTCCTCGCAACTTAAAAGTTCTATTTTCTTTTATCATAACAGAACATGTACGGTAAATAAAGTTTCATGAATGAGTTTAAATGCGGAGCTTATATGACTTTAAATGAGTTTAAAGGTGTTACCGTAGTATTAAAGAGATCAACCGAGTATTATTTTAATTAAATGGCTAGTAATAATGATAATAATATAGGTCACATGCTAAGGAAACGTCGTTGAAGAAATCTTGTTTGAACTATTGATTGCAAAGATAAAATTCTAGAGTCAGTTGTTGGGAACAATAATAATAATAATAATATCATTATTACAGGGTATTAACTCTGCATAGAATAATTATCATGTACTTAATTCAGGACACTTACTGAACATTAAAGAAATTGACCTTAGCTATAGTAAAAGTTCACATAATAGTACTTTAGTAAATTTTGGCACAATGAATTTTACGTTACTGCATAGATTACTAGCCAAAAAATTATAATAACAGTACAGTATATGGATTGCAGGATTACAAGTATTAGGAATCTTGGCATATTGGTTTGGTACAGTATGTTAGGTTAGGATAAGCTAATATTACGACCAGGCATGACTTGAATAGAAAATTGTTCTTTAATTTGTAAAAAAAAAAAAAAGGCCAATCAAAATAATGCAAATACCTGCAGAACTGTAGATTGACGATTTGCTGTACGCTACTCTTCAAAATGTAGGGCTTGTCCGAATGGGAGTGGTGTGGGTGGTCGAGGAACTACAGGGGAGAAGCAACTGACTTAAGTCTTCTCTTGAATCAGGGACAAAGTCATTGATATATTTTTACTGATTTTGGTCTTCCATCCAAATGGTTAGTAGCTGTTCCAAATTTTCCATTACAGAGTTTACCCTTTGTACTATGTAATGCAGTTACTGTGCACAAAACTTTAATTTTTCACTATAATACTCTATGGTTCTGACTGTGATAAATGTCATACTCAAAATATGACCTACCTAATGTCCATTGCATGTTCACCCTGCTTCATATGCCTAATAACATCCATATTCATGTCTAATATGTTCGCTTGATGGGAATTCTTGGCCAGGGCACTTGCAATATACTTTCCACTCATGATTAAGGGTTTCATAAAAGGTGCAAAAACACTTTTCAGTAAACACAGAGAGTACTTGACTTTGATCACAAGGTGAAACATGTAAGAATGGGATAAACAAAGTGATGGTGAGCATCATATCCATACTGATTGGTGAACAGGTGATGCAACATTGTTCCCTAATTTGTAAGCTACTTTGTATCAAAATGATGCAAATACTCATGTAACTTGCCAAACTTGCTATACTGTATTCTTGAGTTAGTTTCGGTGGCTTTTGTTTTACTCAAGATGACAGATTTGTGGCAGTTCCTTCCTTTCTTGTGGGGCTTTTGTTTATTT